TACTATTATTATTGTTGTTGTTATTGTTACTATTGTTGTTGTTTATAATTTGTACAATTAACCTCCTTGTGGTTTGACCCCGGTCTTGCCGGGTTATTTATTACTTTGACACTCCTACACTTGGGAGAAAATATCAATCTTTTAGTCGTGTCATTGGCCCTAAGCCAACTCCAACATAATTGGATTTGAAACTCATGCCATCCAATGGACTGCAACATAAGGTAACACTAGATCGATAAAAAAAAAGGGAACTATTCTTGAAAGTTATTTTTTTATTCAATTTATTATTTTTGTTGACAAAAACTAAAATTGACATACAATTAAAAAAATATGCTAAATAGCATGTTGCATCATAATAGTATGTTTTTCTTGTTTGCATCAATCGTTTAGCATTTTGATCTAGTATTTAATCATTATTAACGACTCTTTTTTTGTGCATGATAATCCATTAGTTTTATTGAACACATTGATCAAACTTTCAATCCACACTTCAATTTTTTTTTTATCATCAACTTGAAATTTAAACATCGCTAACATGTACTTTTTTATGCTTGAATTGACTTTTTTCTCAAGCCTTTAATTTAACATGGGGCAGTACTAGTTATTTAACTAATTTGCATGATTTTTTTTATTTCCTAATAGATTGTTTTGAATAAAGGAATTCCTCTTTGACATATAAAAATCAACTAGATCATTAGTTTGCATTGCGTTATGGATCAGATTAATTTTTTTTCAACATAGAAAATATTCATGCATTGCTGATGTTTTTGCTAATAAAAAAAAGTTAACTATGAACTCAAAATATGATGCATGTTGTATGATATTTTTTGTAAATATTGATATAGTGATATATCAGAATGATCTAGATTAACTTGTCAAATTTTTCATTCGGGTCATAAGATCATGATAATCTTATAGAAAACAGATAAGAGTAAATCATGAAGGTCAATTTCTAATTCATTTAATGTTGAATAACAAAATTAAAAGGAATAAATAAAAAAATGAACAAAAAAACTACTCGGGTCAATTTGACAAACCAACAACCCAAGTCATGAGATTGAAATAACCTCATAGCACCCAAATTAAAAAAAAATATTATAAAACTCAATCTCCAACAAATCCAAATTTGAAGGATGAAATAGAAAAAAATTAATTAAAAAAATAAATAAAACAACACAAGTCACCTCGGGCTAACATGTAAATGTGTTATCTGGATCATGAGATAACATCATAAAATGCAAATAAAAAAATTACAAGGTCCTATTTCCAACAAATTTAGTGTTGGAGGTTAAAATCAAGATAAAAAACCTATATCCATGAAATCGGGATAACTTCATATATAGTAAATTGAAAAAAAAACAAAACTTAGTTCTCAAACAACCTAACATTGAAGATATTAAATGATAAAATAAAAAAAATAAAAAAATAAAGTTATTGGAGGATGAAATTTTAAAAAAATCAATCTAAAAAGAACAAAAAATGAATAGAGTTAATATGGGACAACTTACCAAACTTGCGACTTGAGTCATGAGATCAGAATAACTCTATTAAAAAAATATATATATGAAGCCTAATTTCAACCAATTCGATGTTGAAGGAAGAAATAAAAAAATCAAGTAGAAAAAAAAGGTCAAAAAATACTCGAGTAAATCCTGGTTATCTTGTTAAATTTGCAACCTATATCATAGAATTGAGATAAATTTATAAAAATAAAAAAATAAAATTAAGAAGCCCACTTCTAACAGATCTAATGTTGAAAGTTAAAATGAAAAAAAAAAAGAAATCCATGAAATTAGTATATAACCCAAAAAAAATAATAATAAAATTATGAATAATAATTCCAAAAATAATCTAATATTAAATGATTAAATTGAAAAAAAATAAATAAAAACGTCTAGGTTGTAGAAGGGTGAAATTAACAAAAAAAAAATAAAAACGTCTATATTGTAGAAGGGTGAAATTAACAAAAAAAATATTATTCTAGTGAATAGTGTTTTATAAGTGTGACTATAGTGATTGAACCATATTTTTTAATGTATATTTGATATTCTGGTAGTTTTTTGCGGTTATGATTTAAAAACATATATTTAAAAAGAGCTAAAAGTTGTAGATTTTAAACGACAAGATTTTAATTTAGAATTTTCAAAAATACACATGCAAACTATGGAGCATATTAATTACCAAATACTTTTAAAATTGTGGTTGAGACAAAATATAGCTTCTAGCTTTTAGCCACAATTCACCATACTATAAAATAGATTCTTGGTTTTTATTAATTAAATCTCTCATATATTAGATAATATTTAATATTCTACAAATACATCAAAAATTTCAATCACTTAGGATGTTTCTTTAAAGACTCTATTTTTTTTTTCACAAGGATGATTAACTTTGTTGCTTGCTTAATAGTTTTTCCATCACATTTTATAGTCAAAAAATTAGAGTTACATTGATGGATTTACAAAATTATTTTTCAACTTTTTTTAATTAGAAAATACCTTAAAAACCCTATTGAGATTCCAATAAATCTATTTTCAATTTCCAAACACTCTTTATTCATTACAAAAAAATAAAGATTAAATAAATAAAAAAATCTTAACGGATACTGATCTAGTTTTTTTGGCATGTTTATAGGAAAATATTGTCTTCATTAAACCTTTTTTAAGAAAACAAATTTATTGACTCAAAAATCAACCTTTTTAGGAGCTAAAATATTACAATTCGACCACTTTGTCTTTTTTTTTTTTTATGTTTTTCAATAACTTTCTCTCTTTTTTTACTATTTAAGGATTAAAATGTTTATAAAATAAAATTTAATAACAAAATATAAATTGTTAAAATAACAAAACTAAATGATAAAAAAATAAAACTACATGAATCAAACTTATATTGAAATATCACTCGAAACTCAATATATGCAAGAACATGTAAATTGTTTGTTTTTTTTTTTTAAAAAAACATGCTAATGTAACTTAAAAAAGTAAAATTATAAATAATAAAAGTTCAATATCAAAATATAAACTACATGAATCAAACTTATATTGGAATATCACTCGAAACTCAATATATGCAGGAACATGTAAATTGTTTGTTTTTTTTTAAAAAAAAACATGCTAATGTAACTTAAAAGAGTAAAATTATAAATAATAAAAGTTCAATGATAGTTATTTATTTTGATAAATATTTATTTTAAATTTAAATTAAAAAATTAAATTGAAAAAAATTGTGTTTGGCATTGCCATTAAAATATTATTTATCAAAAACTAATTTTATTTTTTTTAAAATTATTTTTTTAATATTTTTGTTTTACATGTCAAAAAATAAAAAAATATTATTTTAATATATTCAAATAAAATATTTTTAAAAATAAGTTCTAAAATATAATGAATTACGGGACAGCCGAAGTCATCCCAACAACGTTCCTCAGCTGACCGCACTTTCTATTATTTCCGAAGTTTGAAGAACATCATCATCGCAGAGCTGCCTCTTCATGGACAGTAGAAACGTCGTCGTTTGCGATAATGGCACAGGGGTATCCCTCCATCCCTCATTTGTTGTCGATCCAAAGAATGGATCTCTGTTTTCACTCGCTTCTTGTTTGATTTTATCAGTTCATGTAATTTTCCCTGATCTGCATTTCATGCATGCTTAATCCACGAATTCTTTTTTTATTGAAAAATGTGCCAGCCTTGTGAATGATCGCTTTGATTTATATTTTAAGAATTGCATTTGGCTTGAAAATTTTGTAATCTGAACGCGTAATTAGGAGAGAAGAACGTGTAAAACAGCACGATCAATTGTTTTTATGGATAATAATTTTGTTTTCTTTGGTTAATGATTTTGTAATTTGTAATTGATTGATTTGTTAGCCTTTGCTTTTGTTTAAAAATTAAGAGTATGATGATTATGGATTTGTTGAGTTTGATAACTAGAGGGTTATTTTTGTTGCAGTATGTAAAGTGTGGATTTGCTGGAGAGAATTTCCCGACGTCTGTATTCCCGTGTGTGGTTGGAAGGCCGATGCTACGCTACGAGGAATCACTAATGGAACATCAATTGAAGGTAAAAAAAATCTCAACTATAATGTAATTATCATCATGTGTATTTGCATTACTTTTGTGCGTGCAAGTTAATGCATTTGCTTTTATTTTTTAATTTATTTTTCTTTTTCTGATTGAATTAGGATATCGTTGTTGGAGAGGCTTGTGCTGGCTTGAGGCATCAGTTAGATATATCTTATCCTGTTAACAATGGAATCGTTCAGAACTGGGATGATATGGGTCATGTGTGGGATCATGCTTTTTATAATCAACTTAAAGTATACATCTGGTGTCGCCTTCCCTTGTTTTGCCCTCCAGAATTATGTTTTAAGTTTCTCTTTAACTGTATTTAGTGTAATTTTGACTGGATCTTAACTTCCCGTGCCCTCCATTCTCTTTTGACAGATAGATCCAAAGGAATGTAAGATTTTACTCACAGACCCACCTCTTAATCCCTCAAAAAATCGTGAAAAAATGGTTTGTGATCTAATTCTTTATGGTAATGTTCTGTAACATTGTTGTTATTTTCAGTCACTCCATAATGTGATGTTGATTTGGATTCACTTGATATGCAGGTCGAGACAATGTTTGAGAAATACAATTTTGCTGGTGTCTTCATTCAAATCCAAGCTGTTTTAACATTGTATGCCCAAGGTGCTTGTGGAGATGATTGAAGGTTTATGTTTTATTGATCGACATATTTCTTTCTTAGTGATGTGAATCATGAGACGTACAGTTTTGGAAAATTTACCTTTGAATGCCTTAAAAACTACTTATACTACTGTTTTTTGTGGAATGCTCAATGTCATTGTTATTTCTATTGCTGCTGCTCAACACCCCCCCCCCCCCCCTTTATTTGATTATTTTACCTTGTCTTTGGAAATTTGCTTCAGCATCGTATTGTTTGTGCAGGTTTACTGACTGGATTAGTTATTGATTCTGGTGATGGGGTTACACATGTGGTAAACTACTTTAGATCCATTCATAGTTAGATTTCACAAATATTGCCATCCACTTTATCTGTTTTTTCTTGTGTTTTCATTTTCTTTCTTTCTTCTTTTAGTTGCACTTGCAATGAACTAAAATCAAATCATTCGCCACATTTATATAGTGTCTGATTTCCATTTCCATTTCCATTCTCATTCCAAGGAAATGTTCTTCCCCCAAAACTCAATACTAGTTTAGTCTGTTTTGCTATTTTCTTGTGATTGCAATTTAAATTATGAATTTTTTCCATTGTCTCATAAAAAGCAATGGAGCCATCACTGTTCATGATGCTGTTCTCAATGCTCTATGCAATTTGTGGTCACGACTAATTAAATCTAGGGGTAAAAGCTATGCCTTGTGCATCTAACTGGCAGTATCCAAAAGCATGATACTTGGGCTTTTCTCTCCAGGTTCCTGTTGTTGACGGCTATTCATTCCCTCATCTAACTAAGCGAATGAACGTAGCTGGTCGACACATTACATCCTATCTTGTTGATTTACTTTCACGTAGAGGGTGAGGGCCAAAATTCTTGTTAAATCAATTATCTGATGAATTTAATAGATTCTACCCTGTTCACTATAATACAATTAGATAACTGGAATGTCTTACTCTATTTCTGTAGGTATGCAATGAATAGGACTGCTGATTTTGAGACTGTCAGGGAGATCAAAGAAAAACTCTGCTATATTAGGTGAAGAAGCTACAATGTTATGCTGTAGATGGGTTGTTGCATTGTGATTTAATACTAAATATATTATCTACAGTTATGACTACAAGAGGGAGTATCAATTGGGACTTGAGACCACCATACTGGTTAAAAACTATACAGTAAGTTGAATCTTATGATTATTTTTGTTTCTTGGTAAGTGCTGCATCTACTATACTATCAGGAATAGCTTTGTCAAACAAGAGCATGCATGGTTTGCATAGGTTCTATTCATCTTTTAGCTGCCTTCTTATTGTTTGTGTGTTCATGCTTTATTTTGTTATATGCTTTTCCCCTCATTTGATTGATTATATGTGCAATCACTTGCATCATATGTATTGGTAGCCCTGGGGCTCAAACTTGGGAGATTTAGTTAATAATTGAAAGCCTTAGCCAACTACTCTATCTGTATAGGTTTGTTCATAATGTTCAATTTGATATACCCTACGGCTTCTTTTCAATAAGGTGCTTCTGGGTTTTGGGCTGGTACTAACTTCCATATTATCTGAACAATCTAATGAAAAACTACTTACCTATTAAATAATAGCTTGCTATTGCTGTATTCATCAGCTGCCAGATGGAAGGATCATTAAAGTAGGCACTGAAAGGTTCCAGGCCCCTGAGGCTCTTTTTACACCGGTAAGTCCATAGATCCGCTCTGCCTCTCTCTTCCTTTTCAAGTCATCTTATTTAAATTTTCATATTACAATATTGTGCAGTTACAAGGTCCATCTGAATATTAAGTGGTTAATTTCATTAACTTGTTTTCATCAAACTTATCTATAGGTCCTGTTAAATGGTGTGAATAAGACAATTTTTTGATATATGTATTTTATCCAAGGGACAATCATTTTGGGCTTGTAGTAAGATGCAGAGTTACAGCTCACATTGTGTATTGTCAACTCATTACATGTTAATCTATTTTACTGCTAACATTTAACAAAAGAGTAGTTGATCATGTTGCCATAATAATAGCTCTGGCTTTTGAGTTTTTATTTATTTATTTATAATCATCATGACAGACAATAAGAGGTCATACAATTAGAACAAGATGTTGATAGGTTTAAGATCTGGAAAGTTATAGGTGGTTCCTTTTTGCAGGAACTCATAGATGTTGAAGGTGATGGGATGGCTGACATGGTTTTTCGCTGCATTCAAGAAATGGATATCGACAACCGTATGATGGTACTATTTTTTCCATATTGTACTCCTGATATATATATATATCTTAATGCAGTCAACGGTTTTGATTATCCTGTTAAACTGTTGGGTGGGGATATTAAAACTATAACCTATTTAACATGAGAACTTAACTTTACAAAACTTGTCTTTCTCAGTTTATGATTTCTCATATTAAGTGATGGATTTCTCCGATTAGAATATGTTTCATCTTTTTTCCTATTTCATTTGCTTCTAAAAAGTCTTTCCAGTATGTTGTCTTCTTTATTTTAGTTGTGCACATGCCAAATCATCTCCTGTACTTGCTGCAGCATTTTGTGACGGTGTTTTTAGAATCCCTTTGCCTCACAAAGCAATAAATTCATACAACAAACTAGTGGATGTGGCTAGCAATAGGGTTGGGGTCTATATTCTCTGTAGTCCAGAAGATTGGTTATTAAGTAATCTGAAGACTGTAACACTAAGGGAAGGTCCATATATTGGTCCCCAGTCTTGCCATCTTTGCATGTAGAATTCCTCAAAGGGCTGAACTCGAGTTGAGTACATGTTAATTTCCCCTCTCTTTCTCTGTGCAGCTCTACCAGCATATAGTCTTAAGTGGAGGGAGCACCATGTATCCTGGATTACCTAGCCGGTAATATCTTTAATTCCTTCACACAGCTCGCTTTCTTCTTGCATAAAATACTCACTCATTCCAGATATGTTTTATGTTGCTTTTAGCATGCATTTTTAGGTTCATGTTTACAAATTTCTGTCAACACTGATAAAAATTTTCAAGTGCCTGATGTCATGCATGATGGAAATAGCATAAAATGTGAAATGATGTCCTATGGTGGCTGCCAATAGGATTATTCCTAATATTGTGATTTTCTTAGTGTGAAGTCAATCCCCTTTTTATCTGGTTCCCTGCATTATCACACAATGTTCAAGGATTTTTAAAAATTTGTTTTAGAGATTTTCATGATCTATGTCAGTAGTGGACCCAGTGGCTTCTATCATTTTCTGTTGGCACAAATGGATGTGCTTCTTGCAAGTGTGGAATCTGGAAACCACCGGATGATTTATTTGCATGTTTATTATTTATTTATGGTCCAGGCTGGAGAAAGAAATACTGGATCGCTATCTAGATGCAGTTCTCAAGGGAAACAAGGACGGGTTAAAGGTAAGGTTCAAGTCTTTTATAATATGACGTACAAAAGGGAAACAATTACCAAACACTTAATTTTTCATTTGAATAATTTATGAAAGTGTCTGTGATGGCTTTGGCACACTTGATGTAGAAGTAACATATTGGGGTTGGCATTATAACTTGTGAACAGAAACTTCGATTGAGGATTGAAGATCCACCACGAAGAAAGCATATGGTCTACCTTGGTGGTGCAGTTCTTGCAGGAATTATGAAGGTACATGCATGCTTCGATCTCTTTTTCTCTCAACCTTAAAAGATCGTGACTATTTTCCCACAGCAGTTTAAACTTTTTTCTGGTGGTGTAGTTGTGAAATAAAATCTGTATCCTGTGGATAATTTGATGCAGGATGCACCTGAGTTCTGGATTAGCAAAGATGATTATCTAGAAGAAGGGATGGCTTGTTTGAGTAAGTGTGGTCAGGCATAAAGTATATATACACCGGGCTACGTATAAAGCTAGCCAATATATCACGGTTACTTCTCCGACTGCCTTCTGTATCCCTGGGGTTTTGCTGTAGTCCATGAAGCAGTTCAACCTTGCAGTTACCTATGTGAGCTACAGCTTTGAAGTATTGTATACTTCCAGAAAAAAATAAAAAATTAAAGAACTGAAATTGCTTTGTATTTTCTTGAAAATCTTGTTATGTTTCTTTTAAGGTGTGTTGCTCGAGGCTGATTGCATTCACGGATGCTAGTGATTGGTCTGTACTTTTGTGTGATAGAATATAAATACGATGTCTTGAAAGAAATGCACATTGTTCTGCAGCCTTTTGTTTTTTTCATGACATTGTATCATTGTATCATTTTCGTGTTTGAGAGTGTGGTTATAACTATGGTTTGAATTTAAGAGTGTGGTTTGAATTTAAGAGTATAGTTATAATTATGATTGTGATTCTAAGTTTTTTTAATTTAAAAATATATTACAATAATATTTTTTATTTTAAAAAATTATTTTTAAAATCAGTATATTAAAATAATAATTAGAAAATATAAAAAATATAATTTTTTTAAATACAAATTAGCTCTCGTTTCTAAACAGACTGAAAATATCTTTTTTTTGTAAATATAAATTAGCTCTCGTTTCTAAACAGACTGAATGATTGCTGTGTTTCTACTTCAAGCATATCAGCTACCATGTGTGTGTGCATAGCCTCATCCTCCGGTAGGAAAAACAAATTACTGAGGGTATTGGAAATTATCGTTGCTGAACGCTGTCAAGATTTGGATGAACCAACCACCTCAAGAAGGACCCACAATGAGCCCTAGCCATTTATTTTTAGGTTAATCACGTCCAGTGTTTTTAACCATTGAGTTTTGATTGGTCGGGTTTTTTTGACTACTGGTATAATTAATAATTACTGGGATTCTTCTATTATATATTATACTAACATTTGACTCCTTTATATTTGAGTCCTTTAATATCAGATATTGTTAAGCTGATGACGTGTCACTTTGAGTTTATGTTAATTTTTTATTAATCTATGCTGAATTTATTATTTTATTTTATTTTATAATACTTGATCTTTGGCTAACCATAAAAAAGTGCTTTTTATTTTTAATCATGACATGTATGTAAATTGATGTGTAACTCAAATTGATTTAATATATTATCATTTTAATATTTATAAAAAATATCATTTTAAATATTTATTATAAGTTAAATTATATTTTTACTAGTAATTCAAATTGTTTTTAGACCCTTCAAATTACATTAAAATAATTTCTATATAATTTAAAAAATTTCTATCAGAAAAACATTAAAACATCTAAATATTTTCTTTATATTTTGTAATCATGCTCACAACGTAATGCGTACTATGATTTAGTAATGTCTATTCAAAGCTAGTGGCGTGGGGTTGAAGAGAAAGCATTCCAAGGAACAATTACCTCAATAAAAAAATAGAAAAAACATAAGCTACGCCACCTCGTTGTTGTTTAGAAATCACACCTCACCTAATCACCAAACATCCAACCTAGGGCACCTACTCCAAGCCTAGTGGGAAGTGCTTTTTAGTTTTCTAATACTAAGATGACTAATTTCAATAAAATATATTTAAGTTCTAGAAGAACCCTAAACCCTTAAAGTATAGACTAAAATCATTTGCACTAGAAATCAACAAAGATGGAGAAACCCTTTTCGATGATTCATCTATATATATCTCATGTACTAGAAAACATTCACATTTTTTTTTATTATTATTATAAATCAATCTAATATAATTCAGGTGAGTGAAAAAATCTTTTTTCAAGAATTAAAATGAATTCAATACAAAATTATAATATCAAAACACATCACGATTTAAATAATTAAAATATATTCAAACACGATATAGAAAACCAACTCAAAATTACACTAAATTCCACTATTACAAAAAATAGAACATATTAGAAATATTATCTAAAAACAAATGTTTTTTTTCTTTTTGAAAATAAATTTCATTTATATAATTTATAAAAAAATTAAATGTATACAAAATAATTAAAAAACAACTACCAATTAAAAAAGACTAATTAAGAAAAATAAAAAAATCACAAAAAAGAGTTATTAATTAGAAAATAAATTATTTTAAAAACATTATCAATAAAAAATTAATTAAAAAAAAGATCAGGTACCCCTTTCCCTGACAATCATGCCTAGCCAATTTAGAAAGGCTCTCGCACATGCTCTTATTTTTTAAAAGCTAACGGGGTTGTCAGCCCTAATTTCTATTGAAAAGAAATAACTAAGGTAACATATCCTTTGTATTTGTCTAGATTTATGCCTTTTTAGTGGTAAAAAAATTGAGTGACGTTATAGTTTATTGATTTAAAAACCTTTTTTTTAACCTTTTTTTTATCCAAAACATTTAGAAAACACCATTAACATCTTGATAAACCCATTAATAACATTAAAAAACTAGAAAACAACATAAAATTCAAAAATCAACTCGAAACCAAAAAAATTTTCAAGTTCAGATCTATTTTAAAAAATTATAAAGTGAAAAAACACCTAAGTGAAACTTCACTTACTGAATATAACTCGTCGACATCAAAATTGACTATTTCAGTGATTGAAATGTTGTCAACAATGATTTTCTTTCTCTATCTTAGGAATGTTGTGACCTTCTTAAACTAGGGTCATAAAAATAATAAAAATAAAGTTTTGGGCAAAAATTGATTTTTTTATGATATTTCAAAAATTAAAGGGACCTAATTTTTATAGTTTAGAAAATTTCCATTAATGAACATTTCACCAAAATTTCAAGAAAACCACTCATTTTCTTTATATATTTCACTTTGGTACCCTATTTTTTTTATCTCATTATTTCCCAACAAATTAATCTAAATTGGCCTCTAATTTGATTCTATAAAGGTTAAATAGGAAAGAAAATTTTTTAGAATAAAAACATTATTGTGAAAGTTTACGGTAAATAGTGAGATGGGCTATAATGTCATGAGGAACAATAATTTCCCTATGCCTTTTAGTGTTTTGTATAATATAAGCCAATTCTCTTATTTATTAATTTTTTTTACAATAAACTATTAGTGATCTTAAGAGTATTCAATTGTTCTTTATAATGAGTAAAATTTAAAAAAAAAACAATAGCACAATATAAAACAAATAAGAAAATATGATTCACAAACCCTTTTTTTTTTAATGAAAACAAGTTGAAATTGAAAATGCTTATAATTAGACACAAACAATAAGTAATCGTTGTCTAAATAATCAATTAAGATAAACATTGGTTATGGAAAATTAACTCTATCACTAATACCATCAATTATGTATTCGTATGCTGTCTAAATATTAAGATATTTAGAAATACAAATTTTATTGGTGATTAGATGGTTAAATTATTAAAGTTGTACATGTGTCACTTAACTTGGTTATACAATCCACCTAATGACTTCAATAAAGGACTTATGTCTATTTTCCACAAAAATTAAAAAAAAAACATAAAACTAAATTTTTCATTGTATACCAAGGGATTGGAACAATAAAATGACTACTTTATCCTTACAAGAAACTTATTTAACTTGATATTATGGGTGATGTAGGTTTTCCTAAGTCATTGTTAGAGTAATAAGGGCAGATTGGTTTTTTAATTTTTTTAAACATAATGTAATGACTAAATTATTCTTAAATGTAAAAACTTTTAAACTAGCATTTAAGGGTTTTTCCTATATTTTTCACTTTTTAAAGCATACAAAAATGATTAAACTATCTTTAAATGCAAAAATTTATATGTTGGTATCTAGGGGTTTTTTCATATTTTCATCTTTTTTTAAGTTATTATCAAGTTAACTAAGATAAATTTTATATTTTTATAAATATAAAATATTATTTAAAACTAAAAAGTGGTTGGCGTGTGAGACATGCCCATATTCTTAAGACAGTTCCTGAGGAAGCATTTGGTGGTGAAACAGTGGTTTTTAAAGTAAAATTCAAATCCTCTCGACTCCCCAGCATCATTGGGAAAAGAGTGTGCTAATAACCCTATGATTTGAAGCCGACAACTTTTTTTTTCTTTTCTTTTCTTTCTTCTCATCGATTTCTGAATTTGATTCTTTAAATTTTTAGAGAAAGCATTCAATTTATTTTTTCTTTAGATTTGGTCTTTTTTTATTACGTTTTGTTTTATTTAAAATAATTTATAAAACTTAATTTTTATTGTTTTATCATCTAATTTTCTCACATGTTAGATTTGATTTGTATTTTTTTTATTGTTATTAATTGATTGAGAATTGAGTTTTTTGATCGAGCCTAAGTTTAGAATTTCACAAATTATGAGTTTGAAATATTAGCTTAGGTTTTATAGATTTGCTAGGGTTTGCTTAGTTTTTTTTTTTTTTAAGATCATGATTTTTTATTTTTTTCTTTTAGGATTTATTTGATTGGATATTGGACAACTTTATTTTTTTATTTTCTTTTTATAGGATATTTTATTAATTTTAAAAATAACACAGGTTGTTTAGAGTTTGTGTTATTTATTATTCTTTGTTAAATTTAGCTTTTTTAAAAGAATTTTTTTAATTTGATTTAATTAATTAATTAATTATAAGTATGAGATGTTTAATTCATGATATTTTGTCTTGTTTACTTTCTAGGTCGTTGCTCTAACAACTCATACAGTCTCTTTTGATGTCGCGTTTCATAATAGTGTTGGAATTGTCTTAGTGAGCTTTTTTTTTTGTGGTGAGGTGGTATCTATGGCAAATCACTAGTGACTCTCTAACGAGTTTTTCTTTCTTTTCCTCCCGAATATAATATTGGTAACTCATTTTTTATAGTTAATTATTGTCAATTTTTATTTGTTTGCTTTATTTACTATCAATGCCTTATTTTTTGAAATCATATTATTACATTAACCAAACTTATTGAATGCAGTCTAATTAATGACTCATGTCTCAAATCTTTCTTGCTTATTTGAAAAGGCTATCATCATATGAATATTATTTTTTTATGTTGTGAAAAATTTAGGTCGGCTCGCGGCACAACATATGCCACTTATTTACTGTTATCCTAAATAATATTTATCCCATACACTATCCCTTAGAACATTTGTGAGCTTATATGCAGTTATAAATGGTATTTATAGATCAAAGAAGAATAAGAAAATATCTGAAATAAAAAAATTTTATACTATAAACAAAAATATAAAACAAAACCCAGAAAACCAATTAAACATGGATTGGAAGAACTTAGGTTTAGTAGTACGACACCTTTATTTTTTTTGTGAGAAGATTTTCTAAAATCTATCTACCAAAGAGTTTAAAAACCCAACAACAAAAAAGAGAGTAT